AGCAAGGAATATTTATTTTATTGCCAATAGTATGATACTAACTGTTCAATTATAAAATGGTGACTAATTTCATAATTTCCTTTTATGAAAAATGAGCAGGATGAGTCACACCAACTGTAGCTACCGTGTCAAAACCCATATCCAGTAACACGTGTACAGCTGGACCTCTCATTGTCGCACGTGTCAGATCATCAAAACCCTAAATCCCCAAATTAAAAAACAAAAAAAACAAAAACTTTCCTCTTTCTTCGCAATTCTTCTCCTCCTATCGGACTTCGCCACACCAGATCAGAGAATCTCACAATCCTCTTCTTCTTTCTATCTTCAGTTTCGCGACAGATTCAATAAAGCAGTAATAGAGAAAACCCACAAGAGAAACAATCGAAATTTCTCTTCTTTTTTCTGGGTCTGTCGTCTGATCTGTCTGAGAGATTTAGAGGACGTGTCTGCATCTTTGTCTCACTCTCTCTAAAAATTAGGTTAAAATCCTAGCTGGACTTCCACATCACTTGTCTATTCAGAGCTGGTTTGTGTTTTCTGTCTCCTTTTTCTCTAAACCTTTTTTTTGTTTGTTTAATCTCTCTATGGAAACACCGTTGCATGTGATGATTTGGTGTTGAAGAACTTGGATTTAATTCGTTAAATTGATCTTGTTTCGTAGATATTCATGTAATTTAGGGGGATAGAGATTTATGGAGATTCTGGTTTCTGAAGCTTGAATTGTGTGTGTGTGATGATGCATGATCCGAAGCTTAGAGACTTTAGAGTATAAGATTACTATAAAGTGTACTTGCTCCTCTTGGGTTTTGTTGTCTGTAATCAAGTTTCTGTATTAGTTCTATGTGGAGTAGAGAGCATAAAGATTCTTCCTTTTGATGTTTTTGAGGTGTTTCCAAGATTCTTGTCTTGATAGATTCTTGCTCATTCTTTATAGCTTGAATAACACAAGTACTAGCTCATAAACAATGGGAACTAGTGAAGAGAAGACGCCGTTTAAGCCTTCCAAACCAGCATCATCGGCGCAGGTTGGTCCTTTCTCTTCTTCCTCCTTTCGGCCTCTTTCATTTTGTTTAGAATTAGATACTCAAAACCATTACATGAATGCAGAAACTATACTGTTTGAACAAAACTTTAATTAATCGAGCGTGTGTTTGATGTATATGCCTCTTGTATGCAGGACATTCCTCACACACCGTATCCAGACTGGTCCAATTCAATGCAGGTTCGTGTGAAACACATAACTTTGGCCTATCAGTTCTCATAGTGTAGTGTCTTCTTTATCGGGAAACGCCGAGATTGCAGAACGTAATAGTATGTTTCATTTCTTTAGGCTTATTATGGTGGGGGAGGTACTCCAAATCCTTTTTTCCCATCCCCAGTTGGATCTCCTAGTCCTCACCCGTACATGTGGAGTGCTCAAGTAAGCTTCCATTGTATTGTTGTTGATGTGATCTTATTATAAAGAAGTTTGCATCTTTATTTTTGGATAACACTAACTTGAGTTTTATTTTCTTTTAATCGATACTTTCAGCACCATATGATGCCGCCTTATGGGACCCCAGTTCCGTATCCAGCAATGTATCCCCCAGGGGCAGTCTATGCCCATCCTAGCATTCCCATGGTAATCTCCATACCATTAACACAACTCAATTTTTCGGTCAAAGCTTTTTTGCTTTGTTACACGGAAAAGATGCATGCATAGACAAATGCTAAAGTAACTAAATTGCTCGACATTCTTCTGTTGTAGCCTCCTAGTTCTGGTCCAACCAACAAAGAGACTACGAAGGACCAAGCTTCTGGCAAGAAGTCAAAGGGGAACTTGAAGAGAAAGGGTGAAGGAGGTGAGAAGGCGCCTTCTGGTTCAGGGAACGATGGTGTATCTCAAAGGTGCGACGTATTACTTCTTCGGTTTGATAGCAGAGCTATATGCAGATCATCATGAGGAAGCTTTGATGTAATTATGATTTCTATGTTGTGCAGTGATGAAAGTGTCACAGCAGGTTCATCTGATGAAAATGATGAGACTGCCAATCACCAGGTACTGATATGATATGAGTTTGACGTGTTCTCTGTTGCTTGGATGGCCAATGTTTTGTGCAATGTTTAATTGAATTTTATGGTAAATGTAGGAACAAGGTTCAGTTAGAAAGCCGAGTTTTGGACAGATGCTGGCGGATGGTAAGCTTTTCGTCGCCACTAGCTTATGGTTATCCTTTGTTCATGTTTTCTTGACTTTGTATAGTTTCCTTCAACAGCAAGTTCTCAGAGTAATACTACTGGTGAGCTCGTGCCCATGAAGCCAGTGGCCCCGGGGACTAATCTGAATATCGGGATGGACTTATGGTCTTCCCAGGCTGGTGTAGCTGTGAAGGTGAGACCAAATCATCATTCATATTATTTTCACGTGCAAAGTAGCCTTTATGATCTGATTATAAACTCCTGTGTTTACTTAACAGGATGAACGAGAGCTCAAGAGGCAGAAAAGGAAACAGTCTAACCGTGAATCTGCTAGGCGGTCCAGATTGCGGAAGCAGGTAATGTATTATCTCTGCATTAGTATCATTCTGCTATGTTTCTCATGTAATTACTCGCTCCATAATATACCACTTTGAATAGGCGGAATGCGAACAGCTTCAACAGAGAGTAGAGAGTTTATCAAATGAGAATCAAAGCCTGAGAGATGAGCTACAAAGACTCTCTGGCGAATGTGAGAAGCTCAAGACTGAGAACAACTCTATCCAGGTAATGAAACTCTCATCCAGATTCGGAATCTCTCTTACTTTGTCCCCCCCTCAGCTTGCATTTACACGGACTTCTTAAACAAATACAGGATGAGTTGCTGCGAGTGCATGGACCAGAGGTTGTAGCTAGTCTAGAACAGAATGCTGCTGGGTCTAAAGATGGTGGAATAAAATAACACTTAGGAAACATGGGAAAGTCATAACGGACTATTGGGATTTTTCAACACTTGGATAAAAAAACTTATTTGTAAACCACTCTAAAAGTTATTTGAGACTACATAACTATACAGTCGTTTGACATTTTTGTGTAATAGAGATTTGACATAAGGCTTGTGGAAAGCTGCAAAAGCTATGACTACACTTTGTTTTATTACTAGTCTTCATGAACGGATTCTGAATCTTGGTTTGTTGCGGTTAATGGTTCCGGGCTACTGTTTGCGATTTCACCTCGTCGTTGGCTTGGTGGGGCAACCTCATTGACTGTTGGAACAAAAAGCCGTATCAAATCAACAGTTCAATAACAAAGTA